GACCAGGCGCACCCTGAACCGCAACAGCACTTTGCACGTTTTTTTTGCCACACATCCAAGGCGGCAACGCCTAACGCAACAAACTGCGGTGGAGAGAAGCCTCTAGCTCTTGCCTCCAACTAAAAACCTCCTGCCAAGCAGAACCGCTAGTAGCAGCACTGCTGGCACCACTCTGGCTCCAAAGTTTTTTTTGGTTGTTAGATAATGAAGGAACAGAAGCCATGCCTGCGGGGAAGGGGTGAGAGCGTTGGGGCTTCTAAACCCCCAAGAAAGATTTAAATCACATCACCACTGAGCTTAGGAGAGATTTCCCTCTTGCGAAGAGGCAGGGAAGGAACGGAGGTGCTCTGCAAGTCTGACTGCCAACCGCAGCCCGCTTGCTGCTAACACAGGTGTCTCTTCCGAGGCACCGAACCCTTCACACGCACAAACAAACCGACACGGAAAATCCAAAGGGCAGACACAGATTATCTGTCCGTCTGCTGTTGCTGGGCGATGACTGTGGTAGCGTGGGACTGTGCCAACAGCACAATCCCAGCCAAACACTGCGATGTATCGGGGCACTGCAGTGTCGGCAGCCGAGCGGACGTCATCCTCAAGGATCCTGCTGTGGGGAAGGGCAGGGACAGAAGTGACACGAAGAACAGCTGCTGCGTTCGCTCGCTCCGTGCGCAGCTCTGACAACAGCCCGCTCCGACCAGTCACACCTGGGACGCGCCACGTGCCGCTTTATCTATCCTTAACTACAGCACACCGTGTTATCTCAGCCCTGGCTTTCTCCATAGAGATCTGCTGATGCTCCCCTATCCCCACCTCTTTTACCTCTCGCCAGACCAGGTCTGGTCCCAGGCTGCCCACATGGCTCTTCCAGACACTTCTATCACCATCTGCCGCCCAGTCTGCCACGTCAATCCTCAGTTTCCAGCTTGTCTCGCTCCTGACCTACACAGCCCTCACCATCATCAAGCACGGAACCGCAGACGCTTCGCCACGGACTCGCTGCGTGCCCAACGCGCTGCGCTGTGCCAGCGGTCCCAAAAACACTAGGACAAAACATTCCCAAATATTGGCTTCCAAACACTTCTGCAAGTCCAGTTGAGGACCACTCCCAAGATAAAGAATGGTGTTAGCAGGGAAAACACGTGGTGTAACTGTTCCCCCTCCTCCTTGGATTTACAGGGGAGTCTTTTGCATGCAGCACCCCTGGGCAGTAAATCCAGGACAGATCTCTCCAGCGGGCGTGGAAAGAAAGAACATTTGCAAAACCTTTATTAAAAAGGAACGACAAAAAAAATTATAATCACAATTAATTCGATTTGTCTATTTTTCGTCCCCCAGTTATTATAAAGCCAGAAGTGTTCCACAGGCACTGAGGGCCCTAAGGATGAGGAAGCAAAGTTTAGCTGGAAGATGACCTTGTTTTCCAAGCGATGCTTTTTCCACGGGATGATTAAACCAGAGGGCAGAAGGACTGTGAAGCCTCCTTTTCCTCACCCGCAAAGGAAAACAACCAGAGCATGCCTATATGGAAAAGCCGGGCCAAACGCGACGGAAACAAAATAACAGGGAAGCGTCCGAGGAGGCGGACGCAGACCGTGTTCCTCCGAGGAGCACCCGGCTGACTCCCTCCTTGTTCTCCTCCATTTTCCCAGTGCTCCCTCCCCACCCGCCGACCCCACGCACGCAGACAAAAAAGATGCGGAGCGCTCCCGCGGCCCGATTCCCGCGGATCCCGGGGAAAAAAGGCTCGTTACGCCCCGGCGGTCCCGCACCCACCCGCACCCACCTTCCCACGTCATAACTCGCCACAGCTTTGCGCTAAAGGGAAAAACAGCCTCGGGAGGAGACAATCAACAATCGCCTGCGCTGATCTCATCCCTTTTCCCCTTAAAAGATGAAGACGGGAGCGGAGGGCACCCCCGGGAAGGGA